AATTTACAACGTGAATTGTTAGGTGGGAAGGAGAACTGGGAACAAAAGATTCTCATTTTATTGGAGAGGAAGAATCGCAGTATAATCGAAAAAGAGAATATATATACAGGGTTATCCAAATTAAGTGTCCACCATTAGTAACTTTGTTATTAGTGAAAATACAAAGTTGTTTGAATTAGCAAACTAGTAGCATTTTTAACGCTGGTAAAAATGAGAAATAAAAAAAACAATTGAGAGTCGTTATTTTGATTTTTTTCAGTAAAATAACATTTTTTTAAATGGAAACCCCTGTATATTATATTTTTTTCTGTTAAAGCATCAAATTTTAAACAAAAAAGCTTACAATAACTTTTCTCCTAGGTTACAAATTGTTGAAGTTATGGCCTCCAATCTGAAACAATTAAATTGTATCGACAAACTTTATTTTCAACATCAACTTATAATCTTACAAAATATAACAATTTTTTTTAAAGAAGATGCTCGAAAACACCACCTTGTTCTTCAATACATTTTTGGGCACGTTTTTCAACTGCTCGAACTGTCTTAAGTATGGTCCTACCATCTATCTGGGTTATCTTTTCCCTAACTGCAGTCTTTAACGCGTCAAGGTTATCGTACCTTCGCTTGTAAATTTGGTTCTTTAAGTAACCCCACAAGAAGTAATCAAGTGGGTTTAGATCTGGTGATCTGGGAGGCCACTGTATTGGGCCATTTGTTCCTATCCACTGATCATTAAAAGTAGTACTTAGAAAATGATAAGTACCTCTGGAGTTGTGGGCAGGTGCGCCATCTTGCTGAAAATGCAGATGATGTCTACTTATAAGATCCAATTCGTCTAAGAAATTAGTCAGAATTTCTGACATAAATTCCACATATCTTTCACCAGTTAGGGTTCCCTCATAAAAGAACGGGCCAACAATTTTTGAACCAATTATACCGCACCAAACGTTGAAACTGAAACGGAGTTGTGGGCCTCTTGGATGTACTAACAAAAGATTTTCTCTTGACCAATAATGGTAGTTTTTTCTATTAAACATTCCAGAATTTGAAAAATTTGATTCATCTGTCCATAAAAGGTAACGAAAGTTATTTACATTTTGGCGACAGAAGCTAAGATACCAATGGCAAAAAACAAGTCTTCTCTCTGGATCCCCTGCCAAAAGCGTTTGAACTGGTCGGTACTTATACGGAATAAATTTGTATTTTTTTAAAATCCTTTGAACAGTACCATAACTGAAATTAGAGTCCTTGAGAATATCTGCTATTGAATTCTCACGATAAGCTTCAAAATATCCAATAACTGCAATTTCCGTGGCCTCGCTTATTATGAATTCTTTTTTTGCCCTTGTTTTAGCAAAAACATTTTCGTTGCCCCTAAATTTTCGATAAAGTCTCAGAAAATATCGTTCATACGGTTGAATGCGAGCGGGATATAATTCACTGTAGTATTCTCTTGCTCTCAAGGAGGATTTTCTGCACACTAAATAGCATTCTAACATATCACACTTTTCTTCATGGGAGAACATTTTTCTTTAAATTAATGACACAATAAAGCTTATAAACAAGTATTTACACTAATGTTTGACATTATTTGATTTTATCATTGTTTTCCAAAGCCTTCTAGTTGCGAGTATGTCCAGTTTAACAATTTGTCGCTTATCTTAATGCTGTCAAATCGCGAACGCCATGTTGTTTTCATAGCCGTCTTAATATTATAATACTGCAAATAATTAAAAATATTTATCGTTATTTTGACTTTATTTTTGACTTTAGCGGAAAAGTCATTATGAACTTTTTTGTTTAAAATTTGATGCTTTAACAGAAAAAAATATAATATACACTGGTTTCCATTTAAAAAAATGTTATTTTACTGAAAAAAATCAAAATAACGACTCTCAATTGTTTTTTTTTTTATTTCTCATTTTTACCAGCGTTAAAAATGCTACTAGTTTGCTAATTCAAACAACTTTGTATTTTCACTAATAACAAAGTTACTAATGGTGGACACTTAATTTGGATAACCCTGTATATATATATATAGGTGAAAAATTAAAGCTTCCGCCTTTTGTTGGGTACTTCGACAAAATTTAAGCAAAGAGGACTCTTTATACTTTTTTTAATTCTCTCTAGCTTTCAATGGACTTTGCCATCATCATCAGGAGCTGCAATTACAATGATAACAGTAGCAACAAAGGTGTAAAATGAATTTAAATTGACTCAACTTACAGTAGTATGTGAGGATGTTGCTAATTGTTGTTTACGTATAGGATGAGGGAAACGTCCAGTAACATGGTGAGAGCTGGATAGATTGTACAGTAGTCAAACTTATATAAAATATGACAAGAACAAGTTAAAAACAGATTAAAAATTATTTAAAAAATTAAAGCATTACATCGTGAAGCCACTTGATGATTGCACAAATTAGTGGTCATGGAATGATGAGTGACATGAAACCCTTTGACAGAAGGCCGAAGGATGTCAATGTCAGTATTGAAAGATGGAACGAATTGTGGGCGTGTGCCAAAACGTTGCCAAATCACTTCAGATGATGAGATTTTCAGAATTTTATGTTAGAATTTGTTAAACCGACCAGAGGCAGTTGAATAAACTATATTATTATTAATGGGAATTTAAATTAACAATTATTAATAAATCGTGAGGAGAGAATTATTATATTTTGAGTGGAATGAAATTTACTGGTGGAATCGGCCAAAACACAGATTCTAATTATGGTTGTGAAGAGTTGAAATTTGGGGAGATATGTAAGTTCTCCAATTTTTCGCAGTTTAGCAAATATGAGTAAATGACACTCAGTTGTTTAACATCTGTCTTTTTGTTGATACAGTTGTTATTCATGAAAATGTGGGACATTTCCAGGAATAAACGTTTGGAAAGGTGTTTTTCTTTATCAAGAACTTTGATACTTGTGTAATTCATAGAATGCCCTGTTGTGTTAACATGAGATGCTAGAGCGCATCTTTCAGGATGAAGCCTAGCATCACTTTTGTGTGATGTAATCCTTCCTTTCAGAGATCTGGAGGTCTGACCTATGTATATATATATATATATATATATATCTAGACGACAATGACCACGTCTCAAGTTATATATATATATATACTAGTATATTTTTGTGTGTTATACATCTACATCACGAAAAACCATGACGATTTTTTTTTCTGCCAGTCGGTCTGTTCGCTAATCTTTGGCCCATCTATAACTTAGAAAGCACTACTCGGATTTTAATGTAATTTTCACGCAAGAATACTATGGTGCCAAGAACAAAAAAAAATTTGAAAATCGATTCAGTGGCTAAATGCAAAAGAAAAAAGATAATTTGCCTAGTCGTTTCTTAACGATTCAGAGATTCCTGATCACGGAGAAATGGTATAAGCAGACACGGCTCTGGATTCAATACGCGCGTCGTGGTCTGGTCGATGGATCGCAGTCGGTAGAAGCTCCCGTACTGCCGTGGATCATCATCCACGCGAGGTTAGTCATAGCAACGTGGATGTGCTCTCGCATGAATTTTTCTCAGGGTGGAAGGAGATGAACCGTCGGGAAGATATAACGTTCTATGGAATGCTTTTTGAAGAGCGGGGGTTGAAAATATTACAGGAAGGTGCCAAATCCCTAAAATCCTCAAAATTGTACACAAAAGCATACTAAATGCAAATTTTAATTGTATGGCCACATGTAATGGGTCAGAGGGTAATATGAAATTAGCTTTAACTGCAGTCAATTGCGGTAATATTAAAGTTTCTTCGGCAGTCAGAACTAACGAGTACGCATACCTACCTTAATAGGTTCATGCTTTTTTCTAGTTTCTAATATTATCGATTCTGGTTTATGAAATGATAAAATAATGTTGTTTTCTTTTTGATAATATTGTTGATTTTCTGTTAGTGTATGTGTAGCATTTTAAGTTCAATTAAGCAAAACTCCCGTTTGTATCTAATTATTACTTATATTATTCTTGAATTAAATTTATTTGTTAAATAAGTGTTCTTTGTTGTACTGGATGTCGCCCAAATATCTTTTAAATACATTCTCTCTTAAGACCCGATATGGGTGTTTGTTTCCTACCCCGTCAGAAATATGTCCTTTTTTGAGCTGTTGGAAATACTTTTTATCATTTTAATGTCTTTATATTGTTTTGACTTATAAAGTATTATAGCCACTTTTCATGGGTAGCTGCTATGCTTTTTTATCTTTGATATTATAAAAAAGGGTAAGGTACCTTAAGGTGGCCATATTCGACCTAGGTACCTTACATGATAGTAGACAACTTTTCTATTTGCACCGTTGCGTAGGAACTAAAGTCAACCTTCTTGACGCCATTTTTTTCTTCAAGGCTCGTCGCTTTGTTCGTTATCCTTTTCCACCAAAAATTATCATTTTTGTATTGTTTGTGCTCCTTTTGTGATATAAATTGCTATTGATACTCAATATTTCAAACCATCCTTGATTTCAAGCCCAACGACGGCAAAGTTAAAAAAAACATCTTAGATTCAGCTTCTCTTATTGTTAGATGACGTATTTATGGAATTTTACAGCGATTTCGAAAAAGTATTACTGCAATGGCAACTTTGTATGGGAACAAAAATATAAGGAAAACATTTTAAATAATGGTATGCTAATTTTCACTATTAGACATATGGCTGGCTTTCATAACTACAAAGCTCAAAGGCATTTACCTTCAAGCTTGCAAAAATTAGAATATGCTGTAGGTGGTCACAAATGCACGGAATTCATGAATGGATAGCGTGAAAGTATTCCAGACGAAAATAGAGAAAAGGTGGATTCTTTAAACTCGTTTTTACATTCATTTGTACAAAATTAAGCCATCAGAGGAGATTTTACGGTCCCAAGACAGACATGCGCTTTTTTGTAGGCTAATTTGAGATGCCATTTAAGCCAGAGAGAGCTTCGAGAACTTGTGCTGAGAAGTGAGTGGATATTTAGGGTTATTTAGTGTGTAAGAAATTATTGAAAATTACGGTAGTTCAATAACAAGTAAAATGCTAAAGAATCTCCCACGCCCATCTGGAAGATTAATGCATGGGCAGTAGATCAAACTTAAATTGACATGCTAAAAAAACTGGTTCATTGGGTAAAATCACATATTATGTCATGTCATTGCATTGTGTGCGTCACTCAATGCGTTTATGAGGATGGTTCATAAATTATTTGATTGAATCAAAATTCAAACAAAAAACATTTTACTATTCTTTCTTTTTTAAATGAATCCAAAAAACTGGCCCCATATTCTAGAGTATTTATTGACATAACCAATACTTTATGTAAACTATCAGAATTTAACTAAACATAACAAAGGGAAATAAGGCTAAGGTAAAAATGAAAAAACAATAAAAACTAAACGAGAATGAATTGAAAATCATTTATTTACATATTGCATCAACTGATTAAACAATTTAACAAATATCCAAATATTTACAAAAAAACTAAATATATAAATAATACGTCGAAATTATAAAACTATATGTACAACTAAAGTAAAATATAAAACAAATCTATCCGATTTTCAGTGGTAATCATATACTTCAAGAATGCAAGCAATTAATTGCATATCGTTTAAAAAATAGATAAGTATAATTATCTACACTTTGGTATGTCTAGAATAGGAATTACTCCACGGTTATTTTTAACTGTTTGAAGCGTGTATTCAACAATGCTATTAAACGTGTTATAATATTCGAGATGCAGTGGAAAATTTCAAATATGATTTATAATGATGATTCAATCCTGTCTTGAATCAATATTAATATTTCAACAGTATTTTATGATACTGCACTATTATACATCAGTTGTTACACCCGAAAATATCCTCAACATCAGCCGCAAATCTAAGAAATGCGCCAGGTTAACCATAGAAAATATTCGGAAAGGTAACAATAGAATATAAAATCACAATTGCTTAGTATCATTGTATACTAGATTGAAAACACTGACAAGGTATAGGACACGGATGCAAAATAAGCGAGTTAAGCAAAGGTGTCGACCTGAAAATCATGATGAATATTTGCAGAAAAGCACGTTTAATTTATAATTACATAGTCAGTAAAGCTTATGGGGGTGTCCAAGAACTGAAGTTCGTCTCTAAATCAGACAAAGCTCATATTGATTTTTCTTGAATCCTGCCACAAACTCAAGCAAGGAACGGCGGATTTCGAGTATTTAACACAGATTTTCTGCGTATCATTTGAGGTCTATCCATACTTGCTATTGGTATTTAACAAGCAATAACAAAACCTATCATGAAAATGGAGTTTTTAAATTTTAGGTTACTAATCTCGCGAATCAAGGACAATTCGTTATCGTCTTACTTACTATCAAAGGAGCGTCATTTCAATTACGTACAATCTGTATCACGAAGAATTTCTACTATACAAAGTTCAGGAGCTATCACGCTTTCCAACCTACTCCTAACTCAACCACACCAAGTTATCTTAAAATATGTTTTTTGAGACTTTATCGAGTTTAGTTGGTTTAAATTGGAACCATCAATTCGTATTAGGTGTTACGTCATCTTGAGTTAAACAGTATTTGCATCACGAATAACAGATCTGTCAGAAAAATACAGGACGCTTAACTCACAGAAGACAACTATTTTAAAAAAAGTAACTCAAAATATATTCTTGTTTAATTTTGTCTTTTTCAGTGTACAATCATACCTTCAAATAACGTTTGTTAATCGCACAATTTTCCACATCTTCCCTTTTCATGGAAATAACATATGGTAGTACTTATAAGCTTCACTTTCCGATAGGTCCCAGGTAAAAAAGACTTTTAATACTGCTTCACGGAGGCAAAAAATTAGTTAGCAACTGTGAAACTTGGGAAGGTGCAGTTGTAAAAAATAGTCCGGGGAAATCGCAGGACTTCTGAGATTAAGGCTGAAGAACGAGGATTGCAAAATCTTCAGACCCGGTTTATTCATCAACGTATGGACGAAGTATGAATAAGCTTCTTGATAAAAATAAGAATTTAAATCCAATTCAAGATTCAAATCCTCATTGTACTCGTACTTAATTTAAATTTTGCTTGATACTTTTTGTAATAAAAATGGTTGTGAGTTCCAGATTTAAATAAATTGATGTTCGATGTTTTTCGAAAAGGACTCTCCTACTTATTTTTGAACGTTCAAGTAAGCAAATTAAAATATGGGATGATGAAATTGAAGCAATACTAAATTTTAGCATAAAGAAGTCATAAGGAGCCTCAAAATGAGATAGCAGACAATCCCTTATTCCATTAAAAAAAATTTTAAAAAGGATAACTGCTTCTTTTATAGAGCTCACTAAATTGAACCGTACAAACTAGAGGGGGAAGCACTGTATATAACCCAAGATGACGGAATACCAATAAAGTGTTGATGGCTCCAAGCTTTTCATTGGGTATCCTAACAGAGGAAAAAGTTTTACCCTGTTCATAGGATAAACATACTGAACTAAAAGGTAGAGTCTAGTAGCTCCCTTATCAATATCACCATAACCTATTCACAACCGTTTCTCAAAACAACTTCATGTACTGCCTTTGCAATGGCGAGGGGCCTACACCAGCCGCAGCTGAGTGGTGCAGATGGTGATGGCGTACCTCAAGGTCCTGTTCCGCAGCCGCTGCGGCGGAAGTCCGATGGTGGTCTGGAGGCCTGTATCCGCGTTGCTTATCCTCGAACTCCTTCAATCGCTGGTTGTATCGGTCGATTTGCTCCCTGAGGAGGGCGTCTTCCTGTGCAGCGCGTTCCTCGTTGTATTCCAGACAGCCGACGCCATCCAGCCGTTCCAGGTCTAGCCAGCCGCGCCATCGGACGCATACACCGTTCATTATAAACGAGGATTTGATGTGCACCTGGAAAAAAGAAAAAATGGTGTCAATCACCCAGCACTGTCATATAATAAAAATTGAATCGAAACTTGCAAAATATACATTTGAAATTTTTGAGAAAAAGTACAATTCGCGTTTTTGACCACCCTGTATGAGCAGAAATGAAAATTCGAAAATGTAACAAATAATATAAAAGCTGAGCTGTGTAAGTTTTTTTTGATACAAAATTCAGCACTCCAAATTTCTAAATGGCGGATTGAGGGGTTGCCGAAGTGGACGGTTTTTCTGGACAAAACACCTTACATCTCAGTAGCTAATTACCAAAACCACATAGTATGTCATATCAATATTCTTCTTTTGAATTGGTTTGTCCAAATACGCATTAAAGTTTGAGGCATTATATTTAAAAAATCACAACTTTTTTATGTAGATCAAAATTGGGACGCCCTGTATAATTGCCAATATTTTAGAAATGTGCCCTCAAATGTCATGTATAACATGCTATAAATGGATTTTTCCAAAATGTATTTGTTTATGAGTAATATTCCGTCCACACATGTACCTTGTATGGTATAGCAGGTGCGTAACATCACCGGGGTCTGAATCTTAATAAAATCAGTTTTCAATCTCAATATTTTAAAGACGTACAAATCAGATCGGTAGGAAACCAGAAATTTTACCTTTACAAAATCCAAATATGTTTCAGACCACGATACTTCAGAGTACATATATTCTCTTCCTGCCTCAATACTGTGGGTAATGGGCAAAATACAGCACCGGCCTAGCAATAGCCGTCTATAACATTTTAAACAGTGTCCATAAACTGAGGTACCCGATATACCGCTCTCAATATAACAATAACGTTTTATTTTTTAATGACCCCTAACAGAAAAGGCAACAATTTACAGTCACTTTATGGGCCCGTAGCAGAAAATTGGACATAAACCATCCAGGTCGGACAGATATTGTTGTTCTGTGTCACGATTATGAACCTTTTACTGTGCCGTCGTTCAAGTTAATGGTTCAAATTTCCCGTAAATAAAGGGCTCGGGTACCGAAAACAAATTTTAATTTCGGTTACCTGTCCAATACCAGAAGAACTCCTGTCAGCTCAGACATTGATGTGAGGTGGACGTACGAGTACCGTATCATTTTTACGATGTCCGTATTCGGTTAATTGAATTTTGGTTTGGAAATGGAACATTCAATTTTTTTCTATATTCATGTTGCTTACAATGTATAATGCAAATAAAAATCGACGAAAAGCACAGAATCTAATGTCGTTTTGTTATTTTAATAATAATAGCAATAATAATAATGATCTGCTTTATTCAAGCTGTACATTCAATACATAAAAAAGAGTTGCAAATGGTGGGGAAGCTTAGCAACATGCTACTTTTACACTTAACCGACCATTCAAAAAAAAAGTTGTTAGGTAGCAGATATCAAACAAAAAAAAATTACGCAAAAGTTTACTATACCACAAAGTTGGGGTTTTCCAACGACGTATAGATCTTGAGAAAATAAGCGGATTTTCTTAGTAGCACATACACCAATGTCTTAAGAGAACCGAGATGTTGGGCTCCGCAAACCTAATCAAACCTGAAACAAATCGAATCCGGTCCTGTCCTATCCCTCGATCACGTCCACAGCGCCAGCGCCAGCGTACAGTTATACGACTTACGACTGCGATGTGAATACGGATTTTACGACAGAGCCGTACTTGGAATTTCAATTCAACTGAACAGTGAGTACTATTTCATTTATTTTTTTTTACTTGTTCGCTCACGTTTCTCCACACATTAGCTTTGTTATATCAAGCGTAGTTGTGTTTGAAAAGGAAACCCCGAACTTTGCGGACTATGCACAAAGAAATAACAGAAAAAGAAATTAGCAACAAAGACAAGAGCAACATGTTTCAATTATGGATCTAAGCTGATTTGAAATTCAAAAGATGTTTAGGGACACGTTTTTAAATTCAGGACTCATAGCATTGTATAAAACTTACAGCACTGTACGTGAAAGAACGCTCAAATAACGCTGTGAAACAGAGTGGTTATAATACATATTTGGAAATCTAAAATCAGCTAGCTGACTTTTAACTTCTTTTCTTTTACGATCTGAAAAATAATGGGCTGGATTTACTAGGATTTGTTGACAGGTTGTGACTTTTTGATTATCGTGGTTTATTATTGATGCCTGCGCTAGACGAACTTGCTTCATGTATGCGTGACATGATCTGCAATAATACGTGGTTGCCAGATGTTCCAATTTTCCCCGATATGGGGAAACTTCGTGCAATTGTTTTCGCTTCAGACTGTACGCAGACATTTGTTAGGAAATGAAATGCGATGATGAGACTAACGGCTGATCGTGCGACGTTTTCGGCGCGTTTGAAAGCGCATCATAAATACAGTTTCGAGCCATGGCGTGTCGTTTACGAATCCTCGTAAAATCATTTTACGATGCAGCAGGCGCCTAGATCTCGTGGTTACGGTTAATTTTTCTTTTGTTTATCCGGAGTTTTATTGGCTGCTTTGATCCCAGCACGCGGATATTTAGTCTTTTGTCTCGCGCAGTCTCGGCTCCCGCCGTTCCCATCCTAAGCACACTCGGATGCGATACGTACTAAACGCAACCGTAAAGAAAGCCTTAAATAAACAACGTAAACACACAAAAATATATGTTTGTAACTTATTTAATGCCTACACTCCAAGAAAAAATGATGGAGTATTTCTAGATCATTGGACGTGCCATCGATTCCAAAGTATGTAGCTACACTATGCGGGAAGTGAACCGTAAGGCAGGTGCTCCTTTTGCTCTGGTCCTGACTTGATTCCTGTTTTATTGTCCTGAAGAGACGCGCAAAAAAGCTTGCTCCAGTTCTTTCGCGTATCTTCTAGATATCTTTCGAATCTGGTATCATAACTCCTCACTCTCTACAAGGCCCGCATGAGATCTAATCTTGAGTTCTGCTCGATGACTATGACTTCTCTAACGAACAGCCTCGGGACCCTTTCGCACCGACGGGTGGTCGGCGATCTTACTCTCTTCTAGTGCTATGTCAGCGAACTTTGCTCCTCAGAGCTCTCGTTCATGATGCCGCCGCGCGTTGGGCCTACCAGACGAACCCGCTGGGCTTCTGCCACCCATCAAAATTCTGTCAAACTTCGTACATCGAGACCTGGCCGGTACGATCGCTCCCTTGTTCCCATGGAGTCGAGATTGTGGAACAATCTGCCCGAGAAGGATTTTTCTGGTTTTACTATCCAGTTAGTTCCAAAATCAAAATAACAAGGCATATTTAAGTTCCTGCTAGTAGTCGCGGAGTGCTGGTATATTTTTTTGCCTACGCGGCTGCTTCAGTATAAAACGAACATTTACATGTACAATTGTCTTAAAGCACTGACATTAATGGTGTTCATGTTGGTAGAGGAATTACCTGTCCGCGACTGGTTTATGAAAAAATAGTATCGGTATCTTAAAGGCAAATTGATTCTACTTAAAAATTACCTCTTGCAGTTCAGTTCGGTTGCACCGTTTTCGAAAAAAAAAGTTATTTTATTAACAAGCACATCAATCTGTTTATCCCAATCAACATAACGGAAAACTCCAAGAGATAGATTTAATATGGCTTTGAAAAAACGATACTTAGTTTTGCAACAACCAGTGACATACAGTTTACAGTTTAAACAAGAACGAAGAATTTTTATATGAACTTTTTTCATATCAAATTGTTTACTAACATACTGTATAAATTGGAAACAGTATAATATAATAATATAAATGACCTAAATGAGTACTCGGTACGCCCATGTGGTCAGTTTTAAATTTTATTTATTTTATGTTTTGGTAGATAGAATCTATATGAGGAAAAATTGCAAATGTCGTTCCTCAAATTGTTAAAAATAGCATATTTTGCAACGTCAAATTTTGTGCTACATAATTTTCGGCTTTGATTTTTTTTCTTTGATTGCTATTATCAATTTCATTACGCTTGTTTCACAATTTTGAGGAATAATAAAAAGTTCCTGAGGCGCTGTTCTTAATTGAGTTAACGTTTAAACGCCTTTTTTCAATCCAATAACTGCAAGTAAAGATATAAGTACAAATAAAGCACACACGATTTTTCTCATAATTCCGATATCGCCCTCGATATCAAATGTTGTGGCCAACCTAATCCGGTGTTGTGAGCGTATATCTCATTTCGGTGGTTTTCCGCTTCCCGTCTGCGTTTTCATGTTTAAAATTAATATTGGCTTGATAGGATATCGCATGTCACATCAAGTATGAAACGTGTTATAAAAATTCCCATCCAGGTGTGTGCGTATGCATATTGTAATGAGAAACTTATACGTCTCATGTTACATCAGAAGTGGGGTTTATAATAACGTGGCTAATATCCAGATACGAGGTGCTCAAGAATCATAAATTTCAGCACATAGGCCAGCAGTGTGTTCTTAAAATTGACTTTTTAGCAAAAGCTGTCATGGTCGTAAGCCTTTCCAAACTTTACCATCGATTATCGTAATCTTCTTAAATATAGCCATCCATATACTGAATTACCCAAAAAGGATCTGGGAAATACTAGCGCCATCCAGGAGACAGTAGCAGAACAAAACACTGTAACTCTTTTCAGAGTCGGCCTCTGAATTAATTTTTGTATTCTACAACTGTTGACGGTATCTTTCAGCTCCCTTTTTGGTATGCTGGAAATCCAGCACGCTGTTGGTCATGCTTGATTTTTCCAAGGCATTCGATACGGTCAATCATGAGATTCTTTCAAGTAAGCTAGAGAATTCTGGCATGTCAGAAGTTACTTTGCATTTCTTGAGATAATAATAATAATAATAATAATAATAATAATAATAATAATAATAATAATAATAATAATAATAATAATAATAATAATTAACGTCTTTTATTTGTAATATTCTTACAGGAGGCGAGATTTAGATAATATATCTATTCTACCATCTAACCCCCTTAACAATACGAGA